GACAGAAATTTGCAGCCAACTCAGATTTAAAGGTAGGTCAAATTCCCAAGTTAAAACCTGTCCCTTTCTCTAATTTCCAATAATTTTAGAGCAGGAATGAGTATCTGTTCCCGATTCAATGTGTGGGCCACCTACTATGTGCCAGATCCTACTATGTGCATTATTACTCTTGTTAGTGTAATAATAGTGGGAGAGTTGTAGCAACTAGTGCTTCCTGAGTGCCTACTTTGTGCCCGACATTTCTTTGTCTTATATTGCTTTTAGTGATTTATGTAGATTATATCATGTAATTCTTGCAACAAACTCTAAGGCTAGTTGATACTGTTGTTGGTACTATTCCTTGTCTTTCCACATGAAGTTTGAGGCGTAGACAACACAGCTAACAAGAAATGAAGCCATTCTAACCTAGTACCCTGAGTCCATGTTCTTAAGTACTGGATCAAGTAATGGTTAAGAGTCAGTGCCTAGGACCAGGGATTATACAGTGATGAGAGCAAACTTAGTTGGTTGTATTTCTGACCCTAGCGTTGAAAAATGAAGTCCACCAGATGGAGGTCGGTAGTGGGGGCATCTTTAAGTCTTCAACCATTGGTTTAATAGAATTCAAAGTTACTGCTGTTCAGAATAACATGTGAGTAAGAAGGTTCTTTTGCTATGAGTGGAATAGGTTGGAGTGGGGAGGCCAGCAAGGAAGTTATTGCTGTTGCCTACTATAAAATGATTAAGGTTTGGATTAGAGTGGCCAGCAGAGGAGAAACTCATCTGCCTAAAGCCTACTAAAATGGAAATACATGGTGCTAGACCATACTTAAGGTGAAGATAAATTTAACAAAGATGACTTCAGAGTAAACAAACTTGTATGGAAGAGAAACTTGTATTCAGAGAATACAAACTTGTATGTATTCAGAGTATGGAATAGATGTGACTTCTGACAATAGAGAAAAGGAACTATAAACAGTTTTCGGGAACCAGCCTAAAAATAGAAATATGGGACCTGGTGTGGCTCAGAGGATTGAGCGCCAGCCTGCGAACCAAAAGGTCGCTGGTTTGATTCCCAGTCAGGACACATGTCTGGGATGCAGGCCAGGTTCCCAACAAGGAGCACAGGAGAGGCAACCACACATTGATGTTTCTCTTCCTCTCTTTCTCCCTCCCTTCCCCTCTCTAAAATAAGCAAATAAGAATCTTTTGGAAGGAAGGAAGGAAGGAAGGAAGGAAGGAAGGAAGGAAGGAAGGAAGGAAGGAAGGAAGATAGGAAGGAAGGTAGGAAGGAAGATAGGAAGATAATGTAGGTCTGGACAGAGAATCAGAAGCCCAGAGGTAGGCCCAGTGTACAGACAGATGAGCTGTTTGAGGGGAAAGTTCATGTGGAGCCGCACTGTACAGCAGGAAATGCACATGCTTAGATGTGGAGAGCATATTAAAATGTGCACATTCAAATTTTTTTTAATTCTCATGAAGTATTAGGATGGAAAATACAGATTTATTTGCAGTCATTATCTTTATAGATAGTAATTAACTCCCAAGAAGAGAAGATTAGAAATTGCAGGGCTAACCTTCACAAATATTACCAGTTAATAGAAAAAAAGAAAAGATTAATCATGAGCTTATTAGAGCCTGTGCTCTTCCCATCAGAACCCTGGGTGTTTGCGTGGGTCTTCAATAGGCCACCCTCCTGACGCTGAGAAGTGATTCTGGCCTGTGGGAGGACAGCACCCTGCAGGTCTTGGGTTAGCACAAGATTGACCTCCCATTGAGGGAGCATTTGCTGCTGTTTTCTGCAGAAGCCTGGCCTGGGACCAGTCTCATTGGCAAGCATTCTAGTGAAATGAGTCTGGCCTTGGTAGGAGATTAAGGAAAGAAAAGAGATATATGTTACTTGATCCTCTCAACAATCTGATGAAGTAAGATATTGTCACCCTTTTAAAGGTGAAAGACTAGGTCCAGAGATGTTAAGTAATGTGCCCAAGGTCACCTAGCCAGAAATGTTACAGCTGGGATTTAAAGGCCAGGTTCTGCCTTGACCTCACCACCTCACAGCTGCTCTCATTCAGTTTAACTTGCCAGAATGTGATCATCTGAGAACTACCAGAGGTTAAGAACTAGGTATTTGCAAAGGTGGTAATAATAGTAATAGGCTAACATTTACATAGTTCTTACTTTATGCCAGGCACTCTTTCCAGTGTTATGTACGAAAGAGTGCCTGGCATATACTCATTTAATCTTCAGAGTAGCCAGTAAGGAAAGTCATATTATCCCCAGTTTGTGTATAGGAAAAATGAGGCTTGGAAAACTTAAAACTGTTCAAGGTCACATACTTAATAAGGGGTACAGCTGGGATTTGAACCCAAGCAATCTAGCTCTAGTGTCCATACTTTTAATGACTCCTATAGATTGTGTCTCACAAGTAGACCCTGGTGAACGCAGCAATGGCAGATCTAGTGGAATGGCGGGATAGAGGCCAGGTGGTAGGAGGGGAGAATGCCTTAGAAAATATATTTGTGAAGCATTTGATAAAATCCAGCACCCACTTAGGATAAAAACTTGAAGCAAAGTGGGAATAGAGGGAACACACCTCAACATAATAAAGGCCATACATGACAAACCCACAGGCAACATCATACTCAATGGGCAAAAACTATAAACGTTACCCTTAATATGCGGAACAAGACAGACTGTCTGCTTTAAACGGGGGGCAGGGAGGAAGAGAAGGAGAAAAAGAAACATATTTGTGGAACTTAACAAATAGGAATAGAATGATGTTAGATTTCGTCAAATGCTGCTTCTGCATCTAAGAAGATGATTGTGGGGGGGTGTTGTTGTTTGGTGTGTGGTAATTACATTGATTTTCAAATGTTAACCAATTTTACATCCCTGAGATAAACCCCATTTGGTCCTGATAAATTTGTTGTCTATTTTATATGTTGTTGGATTCAGTTTACTAAAATTTTGTTTTAAATATTTATGTCAGTTTCCAAGAGGGATGTAGATCTATATTTTTCTTGTATGTCTGATTTTGACATCAGGGTAATACTGACCTTGGAATGAGTTGGGATGTATTTCAACTTTTTTAAAAAAGATACTGTGTAGAATTGATATTATACCATCCTTAAATGTTTGTAGAATTCACCAGTGAAGCCTCTCTAGACCTGGGGGTTTTGATGGAGGTTTTTAACAATTTTGATTTTTTTTTTTTCCAAAAAAACAGGTATAGAAAAATTCAGATTTCTTTTTTGAGTGAGCTTCAGTAGTTTTGTCCTTCAAGAAATTTGTCTACTTCATCTAAATTGTTGAGCTTATTGGCATAAAACTAATGATAATATTCTGTTACCCTTTTAAGATCTTTAGAATTGGTGGTGATGTTTGTTATCGCTCATTTCTAGTGTTGGTAAATTATGGGTTTTTTCCTTGATCAATTTGGCTAGAGGTTTATCAGTTTTATTAATCTGATCAATAAATGAGTTTTTTGCTTCATTGATTTTTCTATGTTGTTTTTCTCTTTTCTGTTTTATTCATGTCTGTTTACTTTGACTTTAACTTCCTCTTTTTTCTTAAGACAAAAGCTGAAGCCGTTGATTTGAGACCTTGTTTTCTGATGTAGAATGTTCAGTGCAGTAAATTTCTCCTCAAGAACTGAGCAGCATGCACAAGTTTTGATGCATTTTATTTTCCTTTGGTTCATATGTTTTCTAATTTCCCTTTGATTTCTGGAAATGGGCTATTTAATAGCCCATCCATAGACTACTTAGTTTCTTAGTGTATTTAGTTTCTAAATGTTTGGGGATTTTCTAGATACATTTCTGTTACTGAGTTCTATTTTAATTCCATTGTGGTCAGAGAATATGCTTCTCTGACTCCATTTATTGAGACTTTTTTGATGGCCCAGAATATGGCTTATCATGCTATATTCTGTTGTTGGGTAGAATGTTCTATAAATGCCAGTTAGACTGCGTTGGTTGAAATTGTTGTTGTAGCTTCTGTAGTCTTACTGATTTTCTATCTACTTGATTTATTAATTATTGAGAGAGGGATATTGACATCTTCGGCTATAATCGTGGACTTAGATATCTATTTCCATTGCATTTCTATAACTTTATGCATTGTGTACAATGTTTTTTAAAAGATTTTATTTATTTATTTTCAGGGAGAGGGGAAGAGAGGGAGAAAGAGAGGAAGAGAAACATCGATGTGTGAGGGATACATTACCTCTCATATGCCCCTAACTGGAGACTTGGCCTGTAACCCAGGCATGTGCCCTGACTGGGAGTCAGACTGGCGACCTTTCAGTTTGAAGGCCAGCACTCAGTCCCCTGAGCCACAGCAGCCGTCAGCCAGGGCTGACGTGCAGTATTTTTAAGCTCCATAATTAGGTGCTCAAGTGTTTGGAATTGTTACAATTCCATGAATTGGCCCCTTTATCATTACCAAGGATAAAGAAAATTATTTTATACTATTCTTTGCTCTGACATCTGTTTTCTTTGAAATAGCCATTCCAGCTTTCTTTTGATTATGTTAGTATGATACATCTTTTTTCATCCTTCTGCCTTTAACCTATTTGTGTCTTTATATTTAAAACGTACTTCTTGTAGACAGCATATAGAGTTGGGGCTTGCTTTTTAATACATTTTGACAATCTCTGTTTTTTATTTGGATTGTTAGACCATTTATGTTTAATGCGATTGTTGCTGTATCAGGTTAGGTTTAAATCTGACATCTTGGCATTTGTATTCTATTTGTCCCATCTCTTTATCTTCACTTTTTCCCTCCTTTTCTACACTCTTCCGATTATTTTCAGTGATTTCATATTATCTTCTCTGGCTTATTTTAATCATTACTTTAGGATTTATTATGTACATTAGCTATCACAGTCTGATTGCAAGCAATATTAGCATACCACCGAATGTAGGTTACCTGTAGATCATACAGATCTCACAGTATGTTCCTAATATCTTTAAGTATTCATTATCTTGAAGATACTTAGATAAAAAGATACTACTTACTCAGATGTTGCTCATCCAGCCCGTTCCTGGTGCTCTTCACTCCTTTGTGTAGAGCTGTATTTCCGTGGGCAGGTGTCGTTTTCCTTCTGCCTGAGGGGTTTCCTCTCACATTTCTTGCGCAGGTCTGCTGGTAATGAATTCTCGTAGATGTGTGTACCTGAAAACTCTTTTAAGGTAATTCGCTAAAGCATTTGTAGGGCTTACTTAGGCTTTCTGTTTTTAAGGAATCACTGTCCTTTGTTGCCCAATGTGCAAATGTTTTGAAAACCATTGTTTCCTATATTGTATCTGGTTTCCATTGATATTTCAGATAGGAGGGTAAACTGGCTCTTGTCATTTCATCTTAGAAGCTGAAGCTGTAGCCAAGAATTAGAGAAAATAAGATAAAATGGTAGGGGCAAGACTTCTCAGAACTGACAGATAATGGACACATATCAAGGCATAAAGGAGTAGGTGAAGGGGTATATTTTTATGCAGAAGCTGGTATTTCTCAGACACATGAAAATCCCTCTGTGCAAATAAGCAGTTAATTAGCAAGTAAAAGTACCTCTGAAGCTCCTGGGTGGAGCGTACTAGATCTGAGAGTGGTGTTGTCTCTGGGCACTCCTCTGTGAGTTCTCGGCCGAGCCCTCATCGTTCAGTGGTGCTGAGTCTGTTGGCCTGGCTCCGAGTGGTGTCTGGAGCGGCATGGCAAAAAACCACAGCAGTGCAAAATGGGTCCTAAAACAACAGCCCAGGAGAGACCCAGGTCAGAATGGAAAAGGTTTTGGAAAAGTTGCAGAGTACCTTCGTCCAAACTGTATGAAGTACTTTTTAATTCTCATTTGGAAGGGTATTCTGTTCTCATAACAGCTAAGTATAGGAGGGAGTCTGATCTCACTTATCAGGTCACCTGGTTGTGGGAGTGTATTGAGATCCTTGAGGATGGGTCTTTTCTGTACTGCCTAAAATTTTAATTGTTTCAGTATCCTGTATCTATTTGCCTACAACAGTACCTGAGTGAGTAAAGGAAAAGAGAAAGTAGGGTAAGGTGTGTTAGTCTGTCATAATAACAAAATGACATAGACTGGGTGGCTTAACCAATAAAAATTTATTCTGTCACAGCTCTGGAGGCTGGAAAGTCCAAGATCAAGGTTCCCGCAGGGTTCGGTCTCTGGTGAGGGCCCACTTCCTGGCCTGCGGATGGCTGCCTTTCAGCTGTGATCGCATATAGCCTTTCTTCAGTGTGTGTGGTGGGGGGAGAGAAGAAATCTCTTTTTTATAAAGCTACCAACCCTACTGGATTAGGACCTTACTCATACGACCTCATTTTGCCTTAATTTCCTTCTAAAAGCTCTATCTCCAAATACTATCACCTTGGTAATTAGACTTTAACCTGTGAATTTTGGGGGGGACACAAATGTTCAGTCTCTAACAGGGTATATGGGGTACAGCAGCTGCGTAGGTGCCTAAGGCGTGGTGTGGGTCTTTGGTCAGCCTCTCGTCTCTGGCCACACTGTGGCCATATGCTCAACACCTAAACCCCGGTAATAGTGCCCTGCTGTGTGCCCCCAAACCAGAAGCTTCCAGACTTCAATTGGAATCCTAGTATTTTGTTAAAATGAGAAGTGGCCTGGATGTACCTTTTCAGTTACTATACAGATTTCATGGGAAGAGGGACAGGTCTGATAGACTTCATATTTCTTGTCTCCAGGTTCTTCTTTGTGGTCCAGTGGGTCCCAAACTGCATGAACTTCTTGATGACAATGTATTTGTTCCACCAGAGTCGCTGCAGGAAGTGGATGAGTTCCACCTCATTTTAGAGTATCAAGCAGGTGAGAGAAATGAGTAAGTAATGGTGTAAGACTCATCAGAGGAGTCTTGTTTTGTTAGTTTGAGGTGTGATTATGCTAAAAATTTATCTGTGTGAATTAGGACCCTGTTCACCAACAAAGGTTTCTGTGCTGATACTGGCCATTGTCTCAAGGGAGAGTGCTAGAGTATCGCAGCAGTGAAGAAAGTTCCCAGGTATACAAACAGAATTGATCTAAACTCAGGAGAAATCAGGCATCTTGAGTAATTGGAAATGCATTAAACGTACACCTATAAAGTTTTTCTTTATTGCTAAGGAAAGAGAAGGGCACATAACATCTGTCCAACTCTGTGCTGGATTCTGCCTAGACATTTCTGGCCAACTGTTTCAGGCTGCTTAGCATTGATTCTAGGCCTCTGGCAAGCTTCCTGGGAGGCATTTTGTTTTGCCTTGGGTGTGTAACAGCCTGTATCTTTTCCCATTGTATAATGTTTCAGTGTTTATCACTCCAAACCACCCCATCCAGCCCTCCCCCAGTAGTGTTTATGTTACACACTGCAGATCTGATTTCTGAAAGAATCCTAAATACCTGAACATAATGTTTATGTGATTCTGTGTACTTTGCTGTGGTATCTTTCCTCTCTTCAGAAGTCAGCCTCTTCAATTTCTGAGTCAACGCATTAATCAAGTTAAAGACTCAGGCATCAAAACGGACTAATTGGTACCTTAAAGCAGTACTTACTTAATGTGCTTCAGTGAACTGCTTCCAAGTCAGACAATTAAAAGAACCTCACCTACTAGAGTAATCATAATTAACTTTAATGTAAGAGAAATATAGTGCTTCTTGAAAATTATGCCTTTCTCCAAGAACAAAAAGAGAATTGTTCCTTGTTTTTGGTTGTCTTTTGGGTGTTTACTAGAATCAGTCAAGAAGTTAGGAAAGGCAGGGTCTGAAAATTAGGGACAGAATGTTGGGGGAGGCAGTTCACATTTAACAATATACAAGTTTTGAGTTTCAGTTTTAGTTTCGCCCTACTGCCCGAAGGTTGTGCTGAGGATTAAGAGGTTAGTGTGTTTAAAGCTCTGTGAGCTGCCTAAATGAAAGGCAAGAATGAGACTGTTGATGACAAGGGCCAGGATAACTGAAGTTGTGCCTTTGACGTGCTGCTGATGCTGCTGCCAGTTCTTTATTCTTCTCACTTTCATTTCTGTCTGCACTCACGTCATGGACTCGGGACTTTTCTGGTTCCCGGTTTCTGTCATATACCTTGGAGACAACAGAGTGGAGAGACGGCTTTCCTCACCAAGACTGCCGTTGTATTTGACAGGTGCGCCTTGTATGTAATTCAGAGGATGGCACGGCTTATCTTAACAGGAGATTGTCTTTATCCTTGGGATTATAAACTTCACATTTTAGTTTTTAGTTTTCTTAGCCATATTTTCTTAGCACAAAGCAGTGACCTTTTATGAAACTTTATGTGAAGTTGCACTTCTATCAGCCCCTGGAGGAAACTTAGCCCCTGGTGGTCAGCTCTCTAATCAGAAATGCACCCATTGCTTCTCTCTAACCTGGATGAATAAATTCCCAGAGGGATTTGTCAACTTTTTCCTTCCTCCTCTCCTGCCAGACTCCTGCAGAGAAGCTTATTTTCAGGCTTTGGGCTGGGGATCCAGTGAGTCATTACAGGGGTTTTTGCTGACTTACTGGCTCAAGGACAGATTGATAAATTGAGAGAAATAATCACTTAAATAAATTCAAAGTTTTGTGAGAAGAGAGGGGCATTCACTATTATTAGGGGCTCACCCTGTTTGAATTCCGGTCACTTTGCTTCTCAGGCCACTCCATCAGTCCTGTGTCCTTTGGAAACAGCCAGTGAACATCCCTCCTTGTCTTCACCTTGCGGAAGCCTGTTTATTTTTGCCTCTCTCACTTTTTTCCTGAAGGAATTGATTTATTTTGAGTGCTGTGTACCTCTTTTTCCTAGGTTAAATTAGGCTGTGCTTCTTGGCAGCTTCACTCTTTAAGGGCCAGTTCCAGGTCTTACCCTCTGGAGAATACTAATGTCATGTCTTTCCCCCTTGTATAGTGTCCCATTATTTGGGGAAATAATTGGACTTGGAGTTCATACCCATATTTCTTGTCGTTGTAAGCATTAGAGTCATCAGTCTGTTCTCTCATTTGTGTATCTTGCTGTTTGTCCACGTGGCTCTGTGCCAGGGGCAGTGTGAGGCAGTATGAGTGTGATGATGGTAGAAGACCCTGCTCTGCCCTCTGCTCACTGCAGGAGATGGGCTCCTGAGCAGATGATTGCCAAGTCCTGTAACTGGGTGTAGCTCTGGCCCAGGAAAGGAAGTGATTGGTCTTCTTAGGGTAGCAGAGTTAGGAAAGGCTTCACGGGAGGTCACCCTTGTGTCTGATCTTTAAATGAAGCGGAGCTGGAACACTACACTCAGCTCTGCAGACCACCATTGGGTATTTTTTTTGAAGCTGGGCCAGGAGCTAAGAAAGGAATTCAGTTTTAACAAATATAACCATTGTATTGGGGGTTAGTAAATAGGTACTGTCTTTTATTTTTATTTTCATAGATTTTTATATAAGTGTCCCACATATAAAATGTTTCTCAGAGGAATGGATGCAAGAAAGCTGAACTCAAAGCAAAGGAAGGATGAGTCTCCAGCTTTGACACTTGCTCTAGAGTAAGCCGTACACATGTGCGTGCACACGTATTTACCACCGAGAGGGAGGGCTGCTGTTTGGAGATGCCCGTTGCAGAAAGGAGGAAGGAGGTTGCCAACTGCATATCAACTACAAGATGAAGAAAAACTTTCTAAAGGAATATCCAGTAAATGTATTGGGTTGGCTAAAAAGTCTCTTATTTTTTCCCCGCTGCTCTAGTAGTGTCTTTAACTTCATTTGAGACAATTTTGTTAGATTGTTCTGTGTGATAGCTGTCATAACAGTGTGCATTTAAAAAAAAACTTATCAAAATTGGTGAATTTTTGTGCAGCTGTTTTAATATTGAAGGTGAAAGAAATAATGCAACATTTTTAGCCTAATATATTATGCTTTATTATTTCAAGAAGTATAAAAACTCAATTGAAACTCAAAAAAAGATTTGTGCAGTGTATGGAAAAGGCGCTATGACTGATTGAATGTAGCAAAAGTGGTTTACAAAGTTTCTTGGTACTATTGACATTTTGTCAAGTAATTCTGTGCTGTGGGGATTCCAATTCTTACACATTGGAAGATATTTAGCAGCACCCCTGGCCTCTATCCACAAGAAGCCAATAGCAGGAGATGGCCAATATATTCAAAATATCCAAATCAATAAAGTTATTGGTGAAAATGAAAAACATGTCTTTTTTTTTTAACAGAAAAATTGTAACAGACTTTCTGGCCAATCCAATAATAGGAACCTAATTTTTCTACTAGGTTTCAGTGTATGAACTTGGATTTTATAAATGGGATGAATCCCTCATGTGGAGGGAAAACATGTAAACCTGCGATGTAAGTCCTTGCCCCAGAGTGCCCATGCTGGTGGTAACCTGCTTCTCCCAACCCCATTATGGACAAGAAGGTGAGCTCCGTGTGGTAAAGCCTCTGATCGAAAAGCTTCACCAAGTGAGCTCA